TTTCTTCAAAAATTTCTATGCATGGTTCTGTGAAAGAGGGTGAATAGGCAGACCTTTGGCTATAATATCACAGTGCACCCTTTTCCAAGCATATCTTTACCTAACACTTCTACTACACTCAAAAATCTCACTGTAATGTTCAGAAAACAAATAAACTGAATTTTTTTGTCCCCTACTGGACTAGCAAATAAAAGTTGCTTAAGGTTTATAAAAACAGCTCCAAAGATAAAATGTTGCAAATTATTTAAAGTTAAACTCTAATTCTTAAATGTTAGTACCAATACCCTTCTATGGTTTCATTTATTGAGGTCAAGATACTGGATGAACTTCTATGGCGCCTTTTAGCTCTAAACCTATGATCTCAAGAAAAGGATACAATGGAAAGAAGGCATTGTTTTTTGTCTTCCTAAAGGTAACAGAGCTTTGTATGGTGAAAAAAGAGTACTGGATTCGGAATCAAAAGATATCAGGGTTTGACCTCTGGCTCTAACACTAGTTGTGTGACCTTGAGCAAGTAACTTAACCTGTTTGAGCCTCCATGTCATCTATAAAATTAGATGGTTGCTCCCAGATCAAGTTTGAACACCTATGATTCTATTTTCCTTTTAGCAAACAGAAAATAATTCAGAGTTTATGGTTTTATGTGTGATTTTATTCCATATCTGATGGTTTTTCTTCAGATGATTATATTGGTAATCAGCATATCAATGACCAGTTAGGGAAACAACAAGCACTTAAGTGAGAGTCAACAAGACTCCGATACAAACACCAGATCTGCCACCTACTTGCAGTGTGATTTTGGACAAGCAGTTTTCCACCCCTGGGACTCATCTTTTTTTTTTTTAAACAAAAGAGTAAGCTCTGGTCCAGTTGAACAGTCTATGATTCTAGTAGCCAAGATGTTTTAGGACAGGCATAACACATGTGTAAGTTAAATAAAACATGGTACAGTAGAAAGAATGCTTGATCTGAAGACTGAGGCCCTGGGTTCATCTCCTTACCTATTTAACACTGGGTAAGGTTACTTAACCTCTTCCAGCCTCAATTCCTCATCTAGAAATTGAAGAGGTCGGATTAGATGAACTCTAAAGCTCCTTCCAGCTCTAAGTCTATGATACTATGATCTTAGCTCAGACATGATAGGATTTAGAGCTGAAAGTGATCTTTGAGATCACTGAGTCAATGGGTTTTTACCTCGACGTCCACGGGTCCACGGACCCCCAGCAGGTCCATAAATAGATTTTTAAAATGAAGTACCTGTCCATGAACTTGGATGGGAAAAAATTACATCTTAATTTTTAACTAACAGTGAACTAAAATTTTAGCATTTCCTTCAATCATAAACATAGGCAATAAAACATACTTTGAGAAGAGCTCCACAATTTTCACCAGATTGCCAAAGTGGTTAATGACACAAAAAAGGTTAAAAACCTCTAAGGCAGTTCAAAACCCCATCATTTCACAAATAAAGAAATGGAGGCCAAGACAGGCAAAAGGATTTACCCAAACTAACACAGCAAGTTTAAGTATCACGCTCAGGCATACATTTCAGGTTCCTTGACTCCAAATCCAATGCTCTTCCCACTATACGTCTTCTACCCCTTCATTTCCAAGTCTTTAACTGAATCATACAAGGAGCAGCTAGGTGGCGAAGTAGATAGAGCTCCAGTTCAAATCCAGCCTCAGACACTTCACACTAGCTGTGAGACCCTGGGCAAGTCATTTAACCCTAATTGCCTCACCAAAAAAAGCAAAATAAATAAATGAATAACTGAATCATACCATAACTGGAAGATAACAATCATCTAAACCCACAATACAGTAAGCCTCTCATCTAACAGTGACGCATAAGATTAGCTTCCCCAAACCAAATTTCCATTAAAAGCACCAGGTGTCAATAAATATGTAAAATGAATAAAAATATTCAAATTTCAACCTGTTAAAATATTTATGGAGAAAGAACAGTGATATATTTTGCTTACATAAATAAAACATTAGGTCTCAGAAAACCATTTGGCTCTATTCACTTCAACAAACATTTATTAAGCAATTATATAAAGGGTACTGTCTGTGAAGTAGGTAGTTCAACTATTATAATCCCCATTATGTAAACTAGAGATAAGATGTAGTCTCTCTCCTCAGATAACTCACTCAATATTCAATTGTCTGAATCACATACAGTAAAATTCTATTCTATCACCCATTTCCCTTTTCTTCATGAAGAATTAGGTTCACTCTTTTTCCATCATTATTTTTAATTGGGGGGGAGAATTATCACACAAGGTGTTAACAATTTTTCTACTAAGAGGTACAACAGTAAAGTCATCCAGATATTGAGAAAATAGTAAGAGTTATTTGCTGGTGAGAAGGTTGATCCCAACATGAAGCTGAAAAACAATAAAACTTTAGAGAGGTTAGAAGGGAATTTTAAGAGAATGACTCACCAAACCTATTTACCTTCAAGTTTGCCTCCTTACTGAAGGGAAGGCTAACAGCAAGACAGATCACACACTTTTTGTTCTCAATAAAGAATAAGCATTCTGTCTTTGAGAGTGGTAGTATGGGTCCGTCTATAAATCAGAACATTTAAATTAAGACTAACATACTAAAATTTTTCTGCCACCAACTCCCAAGAGGGCTTTACAAGCCTCCCATATCTCAGAACCAGAGGGGGCTTCAGCATAAAATCTAAATGCCACAAAGTCATCTTATTATCCTCTTCAAATTATTACCCTGGCTTACCACTGTAACCTAGTATATTAAATGTATGTTTTATGCTAGCCTTCAAAACTGTAACTTGGCTTCGACCTAAATCTTTTCCTTCCTCTAATTAGCAAACTACTGTGGATGTTGAACCCCTCCTTTTAGTCATTTTATGATTTGTATATTCTTATTTACTAAGTTATAGACAGGTTGCCATCTACCTTTGTAGAGAAAGATTTTTACAGTGAAATAACAGATCCCATATACACTATATCTTAAGCCAAGTATCTTGAAAGAGTTTCTTTCTACTCAGAACTCTTCTTCCCAGAAGCTTTCCAAAATTTCCCTAGGTCATTCCAAGGACAAAGTTTCTTACTAAGCTCTTTCTTGATGTAGATGACAATATGTCAGGTGTAACAGAATGACTAGCTCTGACTATGCTCCTCAGAACAACTGAAACAACACGTCTTAGTATTCTAATAACTTAAAGGACTTCAAGTTTCCAAACCATTTTACGTATATTTGAATCTACAACACTGGTAAGGTAGTACTACAAGCATTATTATCATCATTATACTAAGGTTCAGAGAAGTGGAATAACTTTAACATGTTCATGGTCCCACATCGAATAAGTGTCACAGGCCAAATAGAAACCCAGAATTTCCTAACTACAAGTGCTAAGAGTTTGTCTCCAGTTTCTACTAGAGTGGAAAGGAAATTATGAATCCACAGGCATCAGTTCATGTAGGCACTGACCTGGAAACAGGATACCTGGGTTCAAGTCCTGGCTCTGATACTTACTAGCTGTGTGACATCCGTCAAATTGCTTTCCTCTGGGTCTCAGTTTCTTCCTCTATAAAATGAGGCCACTGGACTAGATAATCACCAGGGTCTCTTTCAGCACTAACAATCTATGAAACTTGTAGAAAACAAGTTCAGTCACAGCAATGGCTGTACTACATGAGATAGAAGCTGCACCTTCGTTGCCCTAACCTCAGAAATCAAAGCTTCTTTTTATTCCCACAGATCCTAACATATCCCTATAATATAAAACACTCAGACCCCAAATGAGGTCACAAAGAGTTGGACAGGATTGAAACAAACTCCTCTGCCTTTCATTAAAGACCCTCCAGAGCCCAGTTTCAATGTGCCTTATTAACCTTATTTCATAATATTCCTCTTCATGCACTCCTTCCAACCAAAATGTACTACATACCTCCTATTCCATCCAGCCCTCTTCTGCCTCTGTACATTCACGAACCAAGCCCAGAAAACACTCTCTTTACATCAAGGCCTGCTGAAATTCTACTCTGCCTTCAAAGTCCACTTGCGTTCGACCTCCTTCACACAAAGCTTTCACTGCTTCCTCATCTCCACTCCAAATTCTCCTAGAGCAGTCTATCTATATCTCTTCTTTACCTCTTTCACACACTCTCTTATAGCATGCTCATGTATCTAGGTTGTATCCCTCTGTCAAATTTCACCCTTGTAAACCCACTGCACAAAGTAATCAGGCAGTCAATAAACATTTATATAGCGCCTACTATATGCCAGGCACTGTGCTAACTACACGCTTTACAATTATCTCAGTCGACCCTCACAACAGCCCTGGGAGGTCGGTGCTACTTAAGAGAGGGAGGAGGGGAGGACTACAACACGAAAACCAACTATGTGCCAACAAGACGCGTATGGAGGATAAATCGGAGATGATCAGAGGGAAGGCCCTAGAATTAATGAGCGTCTACAAGGGCTTCCTGTAGGGGTCGATGTCTATTTCTCAAATGAATTACCAGTTAGGGGCGTAAACTTCAAGACCCCCTGCCCGCCCCCCGCCTCCTGCTGGCTCCACCTGCTCAGTCTTGTTTATTTTCCCCAAAGCCCTTTCCTCCCTCCTCCCTCGGCCTTCCCTTCCTCCATCCCTCCCCCTCCCTCCCTCCCTCCCAACGCTTCCCCGGCCTCTGCCTCGCCACGCAGGCCGACCTCCTCCTCGCTCTGCCGGGCTGGCTCTCCCACCTGGCCGCCCTGGCCCCGGTTCCTCTTTCCGCCCCCTCCCCCCTCGCTCTCCCCCTCCCCCCCTTCCCCTCCCCGCTCCTGGCGCGTCCCCACCCCCACCCCCGCAGCCGCAGAGGGCAGGGCCTGGCCTCGCGGGGCCTGGCACCGGGGCCGAGGGTCCGCATTCCAGGCTCCGGACCGGCAGTGAGACGCCGGCTGTGGGCCTAGGCCCAGGTGGCCGGGACCGGGCCTGGGAAGGGCGGAGGGGGCCGAGGGGCCAGAGGGCCGTGAGGACCCACACTCACCGGCGGAGACCAACGCGGGCGGGCAGGGACAGTCTTCGAGCAGGGGCTGGGGCTGGGGCTGAGGCGTCGCCTGTCGCTGCTGTTCGTCCGGCCGCCGCCGCCGCCACCGCTCCCTGCTGCCTTCGCTGCGTCCAAGGGGCTGCCTCCCCTCACTCAGCCGGGCCACCAGCCTCCGCACCGATGCGCATGCGCAGAGCGGGACAGCCAGCGTGGCCGCCGGGACTTGTAGTTTCCGGATTGTCTTTTTCTCCGGGTTTCCTGCCTGGTGATAGTTAGATCACAGCTATTACGACCTTGGGCGTTTCACTTTCTCTGTGCCTCAGTTACTCCATCTGTAAAACAGATTTTCTTTATGGTTCGAACCTATGTTTTCATTGGTATTGGGATCTTCTGGTGAAGAAATTTTCTCTACCAATGCAGATGGGCGAATGGTAAGTCAAAAATCATCTATGTGGCAGGCACTGTGTTCAGCACTAGGCTGTATCTCATAGTGTCAGAGTTACCTGGCGTATTCAGAGTTTAAGTGATTTGCCCAGCATCAGACAGCAAATAGGTGTAAGGGCTGGACTTGAACCCAGGCCTTTCTGACTCTGACTGATGCCAACTCTCTTCACTGCTCCCCTCTGCTTCTCCAGCATAATAATCCTCCCATGTGCCCTGTGTAACACCTCCACCCACAAGAATCATTGAATCCTAGCTCTGTGACCTTGAGCAGGTCATAAGATCATAAATTCAGATTTGGAACATAACCTTATAAATCATCCAGGCCAGCACCCTCATTTTACAGATGAGGAAACTGAGGCCTAGAGAAGAGAAGCAACTTCTTTTAGTTAACACCAGTAGAAAGAAAAGGAGGAATATGAACCCAGTGCCTCTGATCCTATATCGGTGAACAACACAGATGTGTCGGGAAAAAGTCAAATTGTGTGTAACAGGTTTTTCCCCCTTGCTTTCTCATTGAAACTCAATGTTTTGTTTGTACCAGGAGTTTTTCCTTCTTGCTTTCTCCCTGCAAAGGTGGGGGGGGGTAAGAATGAAAATAAAATAAAATTAATTTTTAAATAAAAAAGTAAGTTAATGTTTAAGTGATCTCATCTCATACTACTGCCATTCATTTACTACAGGTTCCTGCCTTTTCCCATCTCAGAATGTTTTCTCCCACCATCTACCTATAATTGAAATAAATATAACAAGGGATGTTGTGAGGCTCAAATGAGATAATAGATGAAAGCACTTTGCAAACCTTAAAGCACTATATAAAGGCCAGTTACTATTATTATTTGCCAAATTCAGTAGGCCTCCAATTTGTTGATGACTTCATTCCCTTTCGGGAAAATAGATAGATAGGGGCAGCCAGGTGGCACAGTGGATAGAGTACCAGCCCTGAAGTCAGGAGGCCCTGCGTTCAAATCCAGCCTCAGACCAAACACTTGACACATACTAACTGTGTGACCTTGGGCAAGTCACTTAACCCCAATTGTCTCACTAAAAAAATAAATTATTTCCTGTTCAAATATAGAAAGATAGACGGACAGATACATAGATATACTTTTAAGTTTAATCTGAATTATTAGCACTTTATTAAGTCCAAACAATCAATAAAATAATAAATCAATCCCTGATAATGCACACATGAAATTTTAATAATGGGTTCTTAGAAGCCAGTTAGAGCTTGCTCCAGCTAACCTCTGTGTACAGCCACCATAACTTTAATCTTCTTATCTACTTTTCATCTCTTGGAGCCCTTCCCTTCTTAAAAACCCAGATCAGGTGCTATCTTTTTCTTGAAATTGTCTCAGAAGCTCTGAGTCTCAGAGTTGGAAGGGACCTCATGGGTTATCACATCCAACTCATACCTGAACAAGAATTCTTTTTCACAACAACAACCTGAAGAAATAGTGATTCAGCATCCACATAAATCCCACCCCACCCCAAACAGATTGTAGAGCCCCAGATTGTCAATATATTTCCTTAAAGGTGACACCTAGAACTGACCTCAATATTTCGGATTCTGACCAGGACAGAAGGAAGCAGAACTGCATTTTTTAAAATCATCTTAGGATCTTCCAGGCTTTGGGGGACACAGTTTCTGCCCAACAGGGCATTGGAGCTGCCACAATTTATTCATCCCGAGCTTGCAGTCCATTAAAAATCCCACATCTTTTTCACAGGACCTTTAATCTAGTCATGCCTAACCCAAGCCCTATTCATGAAGTAGTTTTTTTTTTAAGCCAAGTATATGACTTCACAGTTATTTATATCAAATTTAAGATTTTTACACTTAGCACTTCATGCTATAGCCTGTCAAGATCTCTGAATTCCAACTGTTATCATCCAACATGGCAGCTAGCCCATTCAGCTTAGCCCACCCAAATCTGCAAATTTGACAAGCATGATTCCTATACCTTCAACCAAGATGTCTGATGAAAAAGAAAAAAAAAATTAAACACCACAGGACCAAAAACAGGTTGCTGGGTATCTTTACTAAATATTTACCTCCTACATTGATATTGACTCACAGATGACTATTTAGGGAGGTCCAATCATTCAACACGCTCTGAATCCACCTAACTGTTCAATTATCTGGCTGGTCTTTCCACCTTATCCAGGGAAGGGAAGGGGAATAAGCATTTATATAGTGCCGACTATGAGCCAGGCTCTGTGCTAAGCATTTTTTTCTTTACAAATGTTACATCATTTGATCCTAACAACAACCCTACAAGATAGGTGGTATTATTCTTCCCATTTTACAGTTGATAAAACTAAGGCAAACAGATTAAGTGTCTTATCCAGGGTCACATCCACTATGCCACCAGATGCCTATCTGTACACCAGGAGAACATGAAATACTTTGTCAAATATACCACTATAATCCAGGTATATTACATCTAAAGCATTTTCCTGCCAGTCTAGTCAAAACCCTGCAAAAAAGGAAATAAGGTAGCCTGGCATAACTCATTCCTGTTGGAATCATGCTGACCCTTAGTTATCTCTATTTTCCTTTATTATGTTCCCAATCCATCCCTTTAATGATGTATTATGGAATTTTATGGGATTAAAATTTGTTGACCATTCCAATCTCCCTTTTTTGGAAAATCTGGACAAAGTTTACTCTTCTCCAATCCTGTGACTTCTTTCCAATTCTCCAGGATCTTGCAAAGCTTACCATTGGCCCCTCAGCAATTCTAGGACCTGATGAATTCAGTTCATTAAATGCAATTAAACATCCTCTTATCATCTCCTCATTCTTCTAGGGTTTTAGTTCTCTCTTAAACGCTTTTGCTCTGTCCTTCCTAGTGCAAAGATCATTCCCCTTAGCAGTGAAAATAGAAGCAAAGTGAGAATTGAGTAAGTCTACAATTTCTCTACACTCTGTTATTATTATCCCATCTGATCTGAACATGGGCTGTATTCCTTCTTTGATCTTTTTGTCCCCCACGCTCAGGGTACCTGTGATTTCATCCTGATGTGAGAAGTCTCCTACATAGATCTCAACCCACTCAGGACTTAGTAAATGAGTCCTAGGCATTTGCTTGAAGCAAATAAATGTTAAGAGACTTATCCTGAGTATGGGAATTAGTTATTCCTCTTACAGAAGAGATAGAGTTTATTGTGAGTTCCTAACATCATTTTTAAAAACAAAAACAAACCCTTTTGTTGTCCTTAACATTCATAAACAGCTGCTAAAGTTCATGTTGAATATAAGTGCTCCTAGCACTGTTTTCCCAGGATCTTACTAATATTTTATAATCATCCTCCACTACTGAGGAGGATGATTACTTCTAGCTTTTGTGTGACTTTCAAAAATCTGAGTTGGTAGATCCATTCCTTATAGGCCTACATTGGTCTTTTAAACAAGTTCCTTTTTTTTCCCCCCACAATCAGAATTTTTTTAGTTTAAAAACTTAGTATTTACTTGTTTGTATATTTACCCTATCACTCCATCAGAATATAAGCTCCTTGAGGACAGGGACTTTTTCTGTCTTTGTGTCCCTAGCACTTAGCATGGTATCTCCCATGTGTTTTATGCTTAATAAATGCTTGATGAATTGAATTTTATCTTCAAAATTTCTTTCTTGAACACTTTCCATTCTTCTTTGGCTGACTCTTCACATAGAATTTTAGGCCATGGAATCCTATCTAATCTTTCTCTAGCCTCTTCAAAATCTTCTCTGCCAAAATTTATCATGTATATCAGACTATACCCATCAATCCTCTCCTCTTTCAAAAAATCCACAGTGAAGATGTATCATCTGCCCTTGAAAAACTTCTTCCTTATTGGTCTGAATAAAGTTCAAAATAGTGATTCCTCTTTTTTCTTTGTCCCTCTTTTAAAGAATAAAATTCTCATTAAAGCAAATCAAGAGTGAACCAGCTGTTCTGCTTTTAGCACATATCTGGGTAGTTGAAATCCCTCATCACTACCCTCTCATACTTTCGTGTCAGATTTCTGAGCTATTTCTATTGACTCCTTCTGTCCTAGTGGTCATATTTCTATGACAACATGACTTCTTTTTCTTCTTCCTTTGATCCCAGTCAAATACATTCCACCAAGGTTCCCTCTTCAGGTTCCTGAAATTCTTAGTATGTATATGTAGCAATAAGTCTCCCTTGCCAGGGATCACCCAGCTAACAAGTGTCTGAGGACACATTTGAACTCAGATCTTCGATCCAGGTAAAGCAGCACTTTATCCACTTCACCACTTAGATGCTAATAAGTCTCTTTTTTTTTTTTTTTAAACCTAGATATAGCAATCCCATGGGTGAGGGTGTGAGTGTGTGTTACAAGGTGAGAGTAACATTTCTAAGGTGCCACAGAGGACAAATATGCCAAACTCCACCTTCAACCTGGTACTTGACGTTAATTCTTTCATATCAAGTTCATAGGCAATCAGTACTTTTTGATATTTCTTTTAAAATTACACTATAATAACAATAAGAAGGGTTGCTGGGCCCAGGGAGCTGGAGCACTGCACCATCTTTGACTCTACTAAGGGTCTGCTCTATTCTGGACCCATGTGCTCTGACCAGGTTCAAACCTGAGGGATCCTGGCCTCTAATGAGAAGGGTAGGCTTT